CTGAGTGATTTCAACTTTAGTATTTGATGTGCAATGTGTATTTAAAGAAGTTGGTGGTGCCGTAAGTGAGATAAGTTTTGTGGAAGTGTGTGAGGTTGTGTTGCATATTTGAAGGTGAATTAGTTAAGATGGCATCGGCTAGAGATGGGAATGACAATAAAACAGGTGTCATGCTTTCTCCGGACTACCTAAGCGTTCAAATGACATCTATTAAGCTGAATGGTGAGAATTATGTGCCATGGGAAAAATCTGTGGAAGTGTTCTTAAAGGCCAAGAGAAAGGTAAAACATGTGAGAGAGGAGACACCTTCCTCTGATTCTCCGGGGTTCAGTGACTGAGAATAGGAAGATGCACAAATAATGACATGGCTATGGAACAGTATGGAACCAAAAATTAGTGTGAACTTTATGTTCCTAGATACAACTAAAGAAATCTGGGATCATGCTAAGAAGCTATACTCCAGACAAGACAATACAACTAGGATGTATCAGTTGTACCAAGAGTACTTTAATCTGAAGCAAGGCAGTCAAAGCTTGGAGGAATACTATGCAAATCTGAGGAATATCCGAAATGAGTTCAATGTGTGTCATCCTCTGACATTGGATGTTTAGATTGAACAATAGCAACGTGAACAACTTGATGTGACAAGGTTTCTAGTGGGTTTGAAGGCTGAGTATGAGCCTGTCCGAGCACAAATCTTGGGGGGTCTGCTCTTCCCTCACTTGAAGAAGTTTTTGCCCGTCTTAAGAGGACATCTATTGAGTCTGTAGAGCATTCCTCTCTCTCGGACAGATCTGGTTTCATGGTGATTAAAGGGGGTGGCCGTAGAAATAGAGGTGGTGGTGGTAGTAGTGGACTTCCAGACAACTGTGGTGGTCCTATGTTTAACCGTGCTGGTGGCCGGAGTGGAGGTCGAGACTTAGGGGGATGTCGTGGTAAAGGAAGAAGTAATGCCCTTAGGAAGTGTACACACTGTGGCTTAGAGGGGCACATAGTTAATTTCTGCTATGATTTGCGTGGTCCACCCAACACTTGGGCTAACCATGCTATGACTAAGGGTAGTAATACAATTACCAAAAGCCAGCAAACTGATCTGATTCCCTCCACATCTATTGGTGCTTCTGGGAAGGAAATGGTGAATGTACCCCATGCAGTATATGAGCAGTTCCTTCAGACATCTCAGCAGAACACCGCTACCCTTGCCCATTCAGGTATGGCTTGCTTAGCTTCCAAGCCCCCACATTGGATCATTGACTCCGGAGCCTCAAACCATATGTCTGGACTCCTAATGTATTTTCTTCCCTTTCTCGGCCCTCTACATCTCAAACAGTTACACTTGCTAATGGTTCTACATCTCCCATCTATGGTGTTGGTGATGTTGATCTCTCCTCCTTGTCTTTATCATCCGTTTTATATGTTCCCAAGTTCCCCTTTAACCTTATGTCTATTAGTAGATTAACCAAGTCCCTTAATTGTTCTATAACCTTTTATCCCTCTTCTTGTGTATTTCAAGATCTTAAGATGGGGATGAAGATTGGTGGAGGGCATGAGGTAGGTGGATTGTATTACCTTGATGGTGGTGGCCCTCTAGTAGCTTTTTAGCCATCTCTTACTCCTCTTCAATGGCACTGCAGATTTGGTCCTCCTTCTCTCAAGGCTCTAAAGTTGTTGGTCCCTTCCTTGAATCATCTTTCATCTTTGGATTGTGAGTCGTGTCAACTAGGAAAACATCATAGAGTCTGTTTTAGTCCAAGAGTTGATAGTCGTATCTTGAGTCATTTTTCTTTAGTTCATTCTGATGTCTGGGGTCCGATCAAAGTGATGTCATACAATGGCTATAAGTATTTTGTAATTTTTGTTAATGATTTTTCAAGGATGACATGGATTTATCTTATGAAAGATCGTAATGAATTGTTGTCTATTTTTCAAAAATTTTATGCTGAAATACGCATTCAATTTGGTGTTCATATTAAAATTCTTCACTCTGATAATGCCAAAGAGTACAACTCATCACCATTTCAACAATACTTAGAGCACCATGGGATCCCCTTCTCGTCCTTGTTGCGGATCCCCTTCCTGTGGCTCCCATTCCTGCTGCAGATTCACATCCCATGCCAGTTACTATTGAGAGGTCGACAATCACACAAGTGTATACCCACAGAAGAGCATTGGCCCCTCCTCCAATTCAGCCATCGTCGATAGATCCAGCTATTGCTTCTTCTCCCTCAGATTTTGATTTTCCTATTGCTCTGCGGAAAGGTAAACGTACTTGTACTTCTCATCCTATTTCACACTATGTTTCAGCTGCTCACCTTTCTGTTTCTCATCGCAACTTTATATCATTGCTATCATCTGTTTCCTTTCCCAAGATTGTCCAGGAAGCTCTTACCTCCTCAGGGTGGCGGCAAGCCATTGAAGAGGAACTCTCTGCTCTATAACACAATCACACGTGGGAACTCACTGTTCTTCCTCTTGGTAAGCATGCTGCTGGGTGTAAGTGGGTATACACAGTGAAGTATCTTCCAGATGGCAGTGTGGAGCGATTGAAGGCCAAGTTAGTGGCCAAGGGCTATTCTCAACTGTATGGTGTGGACTATATGGAGACATTTTCTCCTGTGGCTAAGATTGGTTCAGTTCGGGTGTTGATTTCATTAGCTGCTATGTATGATTGGCTTCTTGTACAACGTGACATCAAAAATGCCTTCCTACATGGTAATCTCATTGAGGAAGTATATATGGAGCAACCACCAGGGTTTATTGCTCAGGGGGAGGATGGTAAGGTCTGTAGACTCAAAAAGGCAATTTATGAACTGAAACAATCTCCACGTGCTTGGTTTGGCAGGTTCAGTGAAGTGGTGGAAGACTTTGGGATGAAACAGTGCCAGATAGATCATTCTGTGTTCAACCATGACTCAAAAGATGGGAAAATCTTGCTAGTGGTGTATGTAGATGATATTGTCATAACTGAGAGTGACAGTAACGGAATCGACAAGTTGAAGAAATTCCTATAGGACCACTTCAATACGAAAGATTTGGGTAAGCTGAAGTACTTCCTAGGAATAGAGGTTGTAAGGTCAAAATATGGAATTAACTTATGTCAGAGAAAATATGTTCTTGACCTACTTGAAGAAACAGGGTTGTTAAGTGCTAAACCAGCAGAGACTCCTATGGAACTCAATGCCAAGTTGAGTTTTGATGCAGGTGAAGAGTTTGATGATCTTGGAAAATACAGGAGGTTGGTGGGAATGTTGAACTACTTGACCATTACCCGACCAGATATATCATTTGCTGGGAGTATGGTGAGTCAGTTTATGCAACATCACCGGATTCCTCATTGGGAAGCAGTTCTAAGGATTGTTAGGTACCTGAAGGGTGCTCCAGGTCGTGGTTTTCTATACCGAAGTGGTAGGACCCTTGAGATAGTAGGGTACACAGATGTTGATTGGGCTGGTTCTATGTCAGATAGGAGATCAACTACAGGGTATTGTACCTTCCTTGGTGGCAATCTTGTAACTTGAAAAAGCAAGAAACAAACAGTGGTGGCAAGGAGTAGTGTAGAAGCTGAGTACAGGGCTATGGCTCATACCAAATGTAAACTAGTATAGTTGAAGAACTTGCTACAAGAGATGGGGTTCTCAGTTGATAAACCCATGAAACTATACTGTGATAACCAAGCTGYTGTTCACATMTCTTYCAACCCAGTCTTCCATGAGAGAACTAAGCATATTGAGGTTGATTATCACTTCGTAAGAGAGAAAGTGATAAGTGGAGTGATAACCACATCTCATGTGAGCTCAAGAAATCAGTTTGAGAGATTATATTTGTGACAAGCTGGGACTATATGACATATACTCTCCAGCTTGAGGGGGAGTGTTAGAATACATGAATTAGGGGTATTTTGGTCATTTTGGTTTATCTATTTGAGAGTGAAAGGTCTATTTTATTTAAGTTTAAGTTATGTCTCCCATCTTTCATGAGGGACAATATGGTCTTTCTTGTAACTCTATTATTTGAAATAAATACAAGTGGGTCGGCTAGGGAGGATTGATTTTCTACTTCCTAATCTGGTCGAACCCTTCTCTTCTTTTTCTTCTTCTTCTTCTTCTTTCTTTATTTTCTTCTTCTCTACTTTAACCTAGAATCGAATAGGGTTTTCTTACAATATAAATATATAACATATATAATATTTTTATAAATATATTATTATAAATATAACGTAAGTATATATTTATATATACAATGAATATATATATATATATATATATATATATTTACATATAATATATAGAAAATATGTGGCATATATTAAATATATATAAAATATACATATAAATATATATACCAATCAGTTCAATTAACTGTCGGTTTTTTGTAGGTTAACCGAAAATCGAATCGGTCCTTTGGTTTTTCAAAAATTTCAAATCGTTCGGTTCAATTAACCGCATTTTATAGTTTGATTTTCTCAGTTCAGTTTGGTTTTTTGGTTTTTCATGGACACCCCTACAGAACGCAAACTCTTGGTTATCAGTTCTTGGGAAGAAAATGAATAGCGTGTTGGAGGATGGTTTAATAAATGTACTCTAAATAGACAGGCATAAGGGCAAAATAGGCATTTAAAACCAAACACATTATGTTGGCTTTTCTGTTAGGAAGGGAGGTAGTTGCATATTTTTCTAAAAAGTAAAGGGAGGTTTTTGATAAAATGAAAACATAGGCAAGGTTTTTGCTAAAGCGAAAACATAGGGGAAGTTTTTATGATTGTCAGAAAATTCAGGGGAGGTTTATGTATTTTACCCTATTATTTTCTTAAAAAGATAAATTTCTTAAACTATTCTTAAAATTGACTAATACTACCCCTACTGTTTTTAACAATTGACTAATACTTCCCTTACCATTAATGTTCCATCATAAACCAATCAAATGTGTATCAAGTGACTGTTATAATTTCTAAAATACCCAATCAGCACCGGCACCGGTTCCAACGAAATATCTCATTGTCCCCTTTGGCACCGACACTGACATCTTAGGCATTGGCATCCAAAGGTAGATATGGATGTTTAGGCAACGACTTATCGATCTATAAGCATAATTTCTATACTCTCAGCTCTGGTTTTCTCTTAGAAATCATCATTCACCAAAACCAATCATTGCCGATCCAGATTGTTCCTATGCATGGAGGCGGTTGTGGTTAGCGAGCTTGGTGTGCCTATTGAGGCATTTCAAAGGGAGAATAGTATGGAAGAACTTCTGGGTGGCATAACATATAAGTCTCGATTTTTTTTCCAGGGTTGTAGGAATTGGATGAGATGAAGAAACGGTTGATGGAGATGGAAGAAGAAGTAGCTGCTCTTCGTGAGATGCAGGTTAAAGTTGAAAGGGGCCACCGGCAGAACCACCTATGTTCTTATCCGTCCCAGTTCAATCAGTCCTTCCAAGGCCAAACTCATCGAAGCTTTCCGAGACGAAGGAGCCATCATCCTACACGGTACCATGGATGACCGTGATTTAATGGAGAAGATATTAAAAGATCACAAAATTGATGTGGTGATATCAGCTATAGGAGGGAAGTGCATCTAAGGCCAGCTCACCCTCATTGATGCCATTAGCTTCGTCAGAACTGCTAAGAGATTTTTGCCATATGAGTTCGGGCATGACGTAGATAAGCTGTTAACAGTGAATAAGCGAGACAAATCGGAGCTCCTTCAGTTTTCTTTTAAGGGATCACCTTCCTCTTCTTTGCAAGTCCAGCCTGCAAGAAGAAGTTCAAGAGTAGGACCAACAACATCGGGCAAACGTCTCTTATCGTGTCAGCATCTCAATACCCACCAAGCACCTCATTGTGCTCATCACCTTCTGGATCTTCAGTTCATTTCCTTTCTCTTTGTTTGTTCTAATTGGAAAAGGAGATACCATTGTCGAGGCATCCTCTCCGCTTGGTCACGCCCGTCACTCACCTTGGAAGCATCTGGGTGCACTTGGTGAGGCGTTTCGAAGGGGCAAACGGTAAGAGAAGTATTATTCAATTGTTAGAAATAGGTAGTGTTAGTTAATTTTTAAACAATAAAGATATACTTAGTTAATTAGCTAAATCATAAGAGTGGTTTAAGAAATTTATCCTTTTTAAAATCAATGGTTCAGGGGTTAAATGAACCAGGAAACATGGCCCGGTGATGAGTTAATCGGTTCAACCACCCGATTCAACTGAGGTTGGAAAACGTTGACGACAAGAGCTCGTTGTCCATTCTGAAGCAGTCTTCGAAGGTGTCGCGATTTCAGGTGAACCCGCAGGACTGTTATGCGAGTTCGATCCGGAGTACCGTAGAATCCTTGACGTTATCTGTAATTCCAATGTACTGATTACTGAACTCATCAAATTTCTACTCCCACATGGTAGCTCTCACTATGCTATACAGAAAATGCAGGATTTCTCTGAATCTGAAAAGGTCTGCGTTTCTGCAAAAAATGCTGAAGCGTCTATTGCCGCCGTGGAGAAGATAGGGTTCAAAATCGGGCAAAGAGTTCACAGCGTCGGTGATTATCGGAGAATTGGGATGGTGATGTACATCGGACCCGTTGAAGGCTATTCGGGGATCTGGGTCGGTGTTGATTGGGATAATGGAGAAGGAAAACACGATGGGTCCATTAATGGAGTTCGGTATTTCCAGGCGAAAGGCGAGAAATCGGCTTCCTTCGTCCGGCCCCAGAACTTGAGCGGAGGTATCTCATTTGTAGAGGCACTTGAACTCCGATACCGAGGCAATTCCACCAAGGAAGAGGAGGGTATGCAAGGAAATCCAACTCAAGTATGAATTTTCTTGTAATCAAGTATGCTTAAAATGAAAACCGGTGATTTCTTGCTTTTTTTTTTCTCCTTTTTAATATTAATGAAAGCTGTGATTTCTTTCTGGTAATCAAAATTTAATTTTCTTCATTATGGCATGGTTGATCTTCATTTATATCAACATGCCATCCAGTCCACCCTTCCCAAGATCTCATATAGCTGGGAGCAGCATTGGATAATGTCCCTCTTTGAGAGCTTTGTGATTCCAAGAAATTAAACTCCAAATAATTCTATAGGGAAGCTAAGACTCCCTTTTTATTACTATGGTTATTTTTTTTTTTAAATATGATATTACTATGATTTTCATCACAGTAAATCGTGGTCTTACTATGAATAGCAATTACAGGAATTACTTTAGGTAATAAGCTTGATAATTACCATATATAGTAATTTTAATTTTTAATACGAAAAGTAAATTTCTAGAAAATTGACATTTAACTCAAATTCTAAGACACTAACAGCTAAAAATACCAAAGTACAAACAAACAGAAAATTATGAACTTGCTATCGTCTCAAGAAAATGAAGAATCTTGATATCCATTTTCTAAGGATTCTTTCTCTGCTTTCATGTCTGCATCAAAAGGTTATGAAACCTTTGGGGCATTTATTTTTAGGTGATGGAGATTTTACTAAAGCTACATTTAGAACATTGAAAGAAGATAGGTTAAATGAAGCTTTCAGGCAATGTTAGATGAGTAAAAGGTAGCTCTCGGGGGCTAAAAGTTTTACCACTAGCTTTGTAGAAGCACAAATGGGGAGAGAGGCACATGTTTGGCCTTATCTTTTGTAGAAAATTACAGATATTTTATCTTTCCTAGGAAGACTTCCCAGCACAGGGCTTGCACTTTGGGTGGGATAGGCTTACTCCAAATCTCTTTCACTGGAAAGTTCTCCCCCAAATCATTGGAAAGTTGGAGAGTATTAAAAAAATAAGCACAAGTAAAAGAACCACCAGGAGAGGCTGACCGGATTCTCTACAAGGAGTAAAGATTGCACATGACTTAATTTGGTGTTTTAGGGATGAGATGAAGAAATTCAAATGGTTTACTAGAGGCATGAACCGTAGGACAAATTGGTGAGGACTGAGGAGGTTGGCTAATGGGATGGCAGATGCTTTAGCTAAGCAAGGGGTGAATACAAATCAATTGTATTGGGCACAGTTCTAATTTGTTTATTTCCTTTATGTTATAGTGTGAGGTCACATCTTATGCCTCTCCAAGGGATGCTTGTACTGTTTCATTTAATGCTCTAATAAAATTTCACTTATCAAAGAAAAAAATGACAGAATAGTCCTCCCTTATTTGGGCTTGTGACCTACAGTGTTAAGACAAGCTACCACTAGCAAGTTTAACATGCTATATATGTAAAGTTCAAAAAATAAAACCGGAAATTTATTTTGGATTGATTAATACGATACTTTACCTTTTTCAGAAAAACAGAGTTTATGGAATTAGTACTTAGAGAGTGAGTTAACAATTACAAAAATTTAAACCAGGAGGCCAGGATGTTGTCTGAACATGATCCTTTGGGTAATGTGGGTGGATGAGCTGCCAGATTAAGGTGGCTGAGTGTTTGTTGTTTAAAGGTGTTGGAAATTGTTTAGCTAAGCTGGGTATTGGGTGGAGTGAATGATTTGTTGTCTGAGGCAATTGAAGGACTATGCTTCTGTTTTTTTTTTGATCTGTAAATATGTGTTTTATTAAAATTCAGATTCAGATTGTAAACATTTTATACAATTTGATGATGGGACTGTTGGTCCCTTGTCTTCACTCTATTCATCTCTCATTACAATGTAGCCCAAAATAATTGCTGTCTCAATGCCCCTTGTTTTGCTAATCCATCAGCTAGCCCATTTGCACTTCTACGGTCCCATTTAAATTCAGCCTCGACCTCCGGCAATCTTCTCCACTTCCCTAATCACATGTTTAAACGTCCATGGGGTGTGGCTGCTATTTGTTGCCCATGAAATTACTACTTTTTACTCCCCTTCCACTTCAACATGTCTGCATCCTAGTTGTTTGGCTAGCTTTAACCCTTGTAATAATGCCAGTGATTCCTACCTTCTTCTTTGCTTATTAACCTTTTTTTTTCCTTTGTTTGGTTTGTGGAAGACTGTTGCTAATAAGATTGTATTGTCAGCAAGGTTTTTTCTGATGATGGTGGAGGCAGTTTACTCATAATTTAATAATGGTTATGGCACTAAACAGAATGGAATGGCTATACAGGATTCATGTAGCCAGCCCTATATGGTTGGGGTAATTCTTAGATGATGATGATGGTGGTGGTAGTGGTGGTTGGAGTCTGGTTTTGTTAGATGCTTTATTTATTTTTTGTTTGGGGGTTCAGTGGTGTTGCATGGTTGCTTGGGCTGTGTATACTACTTGTATACATTTTTTGTTCTTTTAATGATTTTGTTTTTTGTTTACTATAAAAAGTAGAGTTCTAGGTGCTTTGTAATGATTTCTTAAGTACACTTTGTATTTTGAATTCATTTGTTCTTTCTCAGTTTAGCATGAACCTTTTAATTTTGCACCTATCTTTCTTCTGTTAGAATTATGAGGGTGCTTTCGTTAATTGTTTTGTAATCCTTTCCTCCAAACAAAAATTGTTTGAATATTTTATTTTATTTTTTTGTTATGATTGTCTGAATATGAATATAATGCTTCTGATTTTTTTTTTGTCCTAGATGAAATGTATGTACTTTCAGAAAGAAACAAGCGAGTAGCTATAGAACTTGTTGGAAAAAATAAAGTTCAAGACAAGTTAAGTAGATTTGAAGAATTGAAAGGTGCATCACTGTCTTATTTAGGTGTTAGTTCAACTGGTCCCCCAGGTCAGATCAGCGCCATAGTTCCAAGTAAGTAGCTGGCCTTTTTAACATTGTTACAGTTGTTACAGTACACTTTCAACTTTAAATGATGTGCAAATGCTTTTTTTTTTTCCGATTACCTTCCAAAGTTCAATGATGGCATTTCTTTTCATTTATTAATGGTGCAAATAATCTTTGTATATGATGCTTTCATTTGATCCATTTTTGTTATGTAATGAATATGTAATTAATGATGTTTAAATTCCATATTACTAAATCATAATTATTCTAGACAAAAGAATCTCCTTAATAATGTTAAATATGTTTGCCTTTCTCCTTTGTGGAAGACAAGAATTTGTCTTCCCAATTCAAGAGGTCTCTTCTCTTGTGCATCCTTCTTCAAAATACTTCAAAATACTACTATATTTTTCAAAATACTACTATATTTTTCAAAATACTATTATTCTAGACAAAAGAATCTCCTTAATAATTTTTCTTTTCTTCTTTTCTTCTTTTCCCATAACAAAAATAAGGGTTCAGCCCCTATATTTTTTGAATTTTCTTTTCCTTCTTTTTTTTTCTTCTCATGAATATGTTGATTTTCTATACTTTAACATGAACTCTATACTTTTCTTATGAAAATTATGAATAATTATTAAGGAAATATGGCTATGGTACCTAGGGAACTACCCTAGGATCTATGTTTTCTATATAAAAAAATCCATCGCCTAGGCGACTAGGCAACAAGGTGCCCCCCCTGACACCCAGCCTCACCTGGCGCCTTGAAAACTATGATCTGATTTTCCATTGAAAATAGAAAGAAAATCCTAGACTTCAGTCGATGCCCTGGTCAGCAGATAAATCTTCCTTGATCAGACACTATGAATCCAACAATCTGTCTTCACATCACCTACCACATACCTTTCTGGACTGCTACCTTTCACTATTCATGTTCTTGCAAAGAGTAGTAAAGTCAATATTCTCTACTCTGATAGCAACTCAATGAGAGACTTAATGGTTAAATGAATAAAAGAAAGAAGAAAAAGAAATTGATGAGAAAGGAGAAGAGAAGAGAAGAGAAAGGAGAATAGGTCAAATGAGAAGAAAATAGAGTCTCAGCCATATGATTGGTCCACCTGTTCTTATTTATACTCATTTAAGAGTAAAATTACAATTTCTGCCCCTGTTATGTAATTAAGAAAAAAATGCAATAACTGTCATAAGATTCTCTATCTCTTCACAATTAATGTTGTTGATGTCCTTATGAGGCAAAGCTGCATCTAATATACCTGGATATCTGTACAGGGGTGTTGTATTGTGTACATAATTCCAATTTTAGTGAATTTCGTATCAAGAAGTTTGTCAATTCATGTCCTTGCCACATCTGTGTAACATCAAGTTCATTTCTTGATTTCATCTTTATTTTTTATTTTTTATATCAGTAACGGAAAGCTTTCATTAATTTATATAAAGAAGATTAAAATACAAGGGTGGGGGGAGGTAAACCCTCTTACCCCCCCAACAATAAAATTACATAGTAGCCCAAAACAATTGGCTTCTTCCCTCCCCCTGTTTGGCCAAAGCATCTGCAACTGAATTAGCACATCTTTTGACCCACCGGACACACACATCCATTCCTTGGGTCAGCCACTTAAAATGCCTTTTCTCATTAATGTATGCCCATAACCCATCGTTTGCCTTTTTTATCCAGCCAATTACCACTTGTGAATCTCCTTCTATAATCAACTTATTTATATTTAACTCCTTAGCCCTTTTGACACCCTCCAGAAGGGCCAAAGTTTCTGCTCTCAAGGAAATTTCTTCATCTTATTTATATTTATATTTCTTCATCTTTATTTTCATGTCATGTGTGAGAGTAGTGATGAAATTTCTTCTTCCATTTATTTATTAATATGGTATTGGAGTAATCTTTAGCTAATTTCCTACCTCTCATCCTTTTTGCTTCCTTTCTGAAATTTATCATTGTACACCAGATAGTTTAACCACCTTTGAACCTTGACTATTTATATTTTTCATGGTAAATTGTGGGAAGGATACTAATGGCATTGTGGTTTACTCTATCATGTGTTTATTCAGATATGAAGGAGCTTGATTTGACTGGAAATTTGCTTTCAGAATGGAAAGTACGTCACTGTTGCGAAATTATATATTTGAGATGTGCCAAGTCAGCATGACATTTAATTTTTAATAATTCTCAATGGTTTTATTTATTTTTCCTTATGTATATAATCTTTTAGCATATATTTTCTCCATCTATCACCATACACTTCTGTTGTGTCATTTCAGTAATGTAACTCATGCATCTGGTTATGGCTGTATAACTAATATGTGGTTCCATGTGGGTAGTTTTTCCTGAAAAAACTTGTGAAAAAATGGTTCAGACAAAATAATGTCTAGCAGTTGTAGAAAGTTGAAAACAGTCCTCTTGAAGTATAGGACTGCTTGTGATAAGATGCAAAACCAGAAAACTGAACAAGAGAAGATTAAGAAGTTGAGAGAGAGGGAGCTGGCGGCAATGAGAGTTAGAGAGTGAGAGGTTCGAACTAAACCTCCCTCTAACACTCTAAACATTTTATTAAGTTAATCTTTGAAATATTACAGAGAGGCCCTTGAGTGGGCAAGAAATTATAAGCACAGAACATTACAGCGTATGGGCCCAGAATAAGGCCCATTACAGAGGGAAGCATAAACATAACATGAAATAACAGTCTATGGGCCATTCGGCCCATCTCCTCTACATAGAAGAAAGGCTGCAATGTTAGGTCAAAGAAATAATAGAAAAAGAAGAAGAAAGAAGAAAGAGTAGGAGAAAGAGAAGTTGGCCAGTGAGAAAAACTAATCTCCCAAGCCCAACCAACCCATATTTATATATTACTAAAGTTGCATACGAAGACTATAGTTTCCCTAATTAAGTATGGGACACAACTTAAACTAGAACAAAATAGACTAGTTACACTTCATTAAATAAAAGAGAAAAGACTAAAGCACCCTTAACAGGTCAGCCACTAACGTTTCCCATCAAGCTGGAGTATATACATCATATAGTCCTAGCTTGTTGCATATGTAATCCATCCCAAGGTTTAAAGTGTTGGTGCCAGTGCAAATGTCAGTGTCCAAATATAAGAAACATGTTAGAAATGTTAGAAATATTGTAAAACTATAGACATGGTGGAAACATTGTAAGATATGTAAAATATAGAATGACATTTTATGAAATGATAAAAGAAGCATTGACATGCCTTTTTAAGTAATTATCTTCTTCCAAATCATAAAACAAAGCTAAAAAACTAAGGTCATTGACAAGAGAATACGTTCTGAAGTTGCCCTGTAAACCTTAAGATTAAGAGCTTCATGATAGAATGAGTTAAAGAAAAACTTAAACTCATAGAAAATGTAAATAGTTGTAATAGAACAACCAAAAAATCTATTACACAAACCAAAAAGTGATATTTAACTTTATGTTTGAAATGAATGTTGGGCTGGCTCAAAGTGGTAATTATGTAAGTTAAGTGGGCATTAACATTGTTACTCCACATATCTACAATATTGTCACCAACTTATGTTATAATACTATCTCTTGTGCTCTACGTAGTGCTGGTAGTGTTCACAAGGGAATATGTCGATTCCAGTAAAATTTCATGCCACCACCCATGGAAGTGGAAATGGGAATATGACCTGGAAACTATCTCTTGTACTCCACATAGTGCTGGTAGTGTTCATTGGAGATTTCAAGTCGCTACCCATGGAAATGGAAATATGTTGTGAAAATATTAGGGAAATAACGGACACTTTAAACCATGATTCACTCTTTGTTGATTCAAGCCCCTATTAAACAGGTCTACCCATTGATTTTCGAAGCTCACATGCACAATATCAATTACTCCATTGAGAATCTTTTCCCTTACAAATGACAGTTAACCTCTAATGCTCGGTCCTCGATTCAGTCATAGGTGTTTGGGGTAAACCAGGCCCTCAAAGAATGGGGGCATTTGCTTGGCTGGTATCAATGGGCAGCATTGTCACTCAAGACAAGTTGAGAAAAAGAGGTTCACTTTCCAAACAGTTGTGTTTTATGTATCTTTGAGGAGGAGAATATTCTTCATCTGCTGGCCCGATGCAGTTTTTTGAAAGGAATTTGGAACTGGTCCAAGAGTTCATGGGAGGAGGAATCAATATTCTTCATTTGCTGGTCCAAGAGTTCATGGGAACACTAAAGCCAGAATCATATGGAGCTGCATTCCACTTGCTGTTTGCTGGGAGGTATGGAAGGAGAGAAACAAAAGAATATTTGAAGGGAAGGTGAAAAGCAATGAAGAATTAGGGGCGATCATCATCATCATCTGCTAAAAGATAATTGCTGGGTTCTAATCCTTCCAGAATTTGAAGGCCTGGGAAAAGAAGACTTTGGCTTGGAATTTTGGTGTACTTTGAATTTTGATCACTGTATTTTGGCTTAGTGGTTCTTTATTTTTTTCATTTGTTTCTTCGGGATCCAGTTTTGTATGTGGGTTGGAGACACCTTGTCAGATGTACTTTGTTTAGTTATCTTCAAAAGAAAAAAAAAAATACTAACTTGACTTACTCTAAAGATAAAAGATGGCCCAATGATGGAACAAGTGACTTAAGTGCTTGAAGAGATGAATGACCGAGCTTACAATGCCACTGGATAGGTGTGAATCGGATGCTACCACTGAACTCATTGATTCCCTAAATAGCTTTCTTTTGGACAGTTCCCATTACTAACTAAAGAATTGGATCCTTTGCAAGTCTGGTTGTTTCTCTTGTGCTTCCTGCTTTTGTGCCCTCCCTTCCAATCCAAATTCTCCTCTTTTTCCAGTCAAGGCTGTGTGGAGTGGGCCAGTCTAACCCAAGATTGGATCTTTTTGTTGGGAAGTGTTTCATGTGAGAATTAATGTGTTAGCATCTCCAAAGGAAAAGGCTAAATTGGTGTTTCTCTCCTCACTCATGTTCTTTGCAGCACAAGTGGTGAAACTACATTTCATGTGCTAATCTCCTTTCTACTTGTTGGTATTTGGAAAATTTTCTCACTTTTTGATGCAGATTGATTCCTCCAAAAGATGTCACTAGCTTGTTAACATCATCTTTTCTTCTAACTGCCTAAACAAAGGGTTAAGATTCTATAGGGATGTGCAAGGGTAGCAATGCTTTGGTCAGTTTCGGAAAAAATGAAATGTAAGAAAATTTAAGGAGGCGAGACATTCAAAATAAGCTATGAGCCTATGATTGAGATCATCATGGGGCAAGTGGTACATTTTGGTCACTATACATCTAATGACATCAGTGGTTGCTGGCAGTCTATTGCTAAAACCTCAAGCTGTAAGATCACAATAATTATTACCAAGCAGCCACTCTTAGTCTATTACATAATGTAACCAAGATGATTTTGGTGGCTGCAACTTAGGCAACTCTGAATTGTCAGGGATTGGAGGAGAGTTTAGGAGATGCAATGGAGATGTAATGGCATTTTTTTTCGTCCCTCTTGTAGGGGTGATCATGGACCGGGCTGAGCTGGGTCTGAGCTGGGCTTTGATCTGTGATAAGTCCTATAGCCTAGGCCTTGGCCTGGCCCGGCTTGGATTCTGGGCCTGAAACATAGATTCCAGGCCTACTATTATCGATATATATAATATTTTATATGTCATAATATATGTGTATAAAATTTATTTTATACTATAAAATATTATATACAATATGTATTATAGGTGTCTATTATAATATTTATATATAAAATATAACATAAAACAACATATGCACATATGCATAAATTATGTATAAAACACATAAATATAATGGCTCCTGTACGTTGATGTATAGTGTCTCACTATACACGTATATACTTGTACATCCATATAGGGGTGAGTATTTGGTTTATTCGGTTACCAAATAAACCAAAATTTAAAAAACCGAAATAAAAAATAAAAACTGAACCGAAACCAAATTACAAGAAAATCGAAATAACCGTAACTGAAATTTTCTGTTAGGTTTTTGGTTATTTCGGTTAAAACCGAATTTCATTAACATATATAAGATATTGTATATTATAACATATAATATATAATATATATTATGAAACTAAATTTCATTATAATATACTATATATAATATACATTAATATATAAATATATAGCATATTATATACTATATGTTATATATTATATATTATATATTACATATTATTTAATGAGTTTTGGTTAATTTGGTTAACCGAATTTTTAATTTTGAAAACCGAAACTGAAAACCGAAATTTCCAAAAACCGAATTAACTAAACCGAAATTTTCAAAAACTGAACAATTTGGGAAGAAAGAAACGCTAGAATTTTCCAAGATAAAGAGAGGTCCTTTACAGAAGTGAAGGAATGTATCTTAACCAGGACTATCCATTTTCTGAAATCCTTGGCTTCTTTCAGCTCTTTTTCATTTGATGACATCTGGAGGAATTGGGCCACAGTTGCACACACTTTTTTTAGAAAAACCAGAGCTATTACAGTTTGGGTAACTCCCCCAGAAGGTTTTTTTAAACTGAATTTTGATGGAAGCAGCCAGGGTAACCCAGAACCGTCTGGCATTGGAGGAGTATTGAGGAATGAAAATGGCAACATCATATTCTTATTCTCAGGCCCGATAGGGATAGGGGACTCTACAAGAACCGAGATATTGGCTGCAGTACAGGGAATTCAGATTGCTAATCAACTAGGAGTGGAGAACCTATTGATTAAAGGGGATTCTAAGGTGATTGTGGGCTGGCTATCAAATCCAGACTCAGTTGTTTGGAGTTATAGGGATCTCATAAAAAAAGTTAAATGTTTAACAAGGCACATTACATGTAGATATCAGTAGGTGGGTAGGAAGGCAAATGCCTTGCCTGATCATCTTGCTAAACAGGGGTCTACTAGGGACCATTTATTCAGGGCAGCATTGTAATTTTATTTCTGATATCTTGTAACGGTTAGGGGAGGCTGCATCTCGTGCCTCCCAAGGGATTCTTGTAAAATCTTATTCCTCTTGTTTAATGAAATCATTTTCAATTATCAAAAAAAAATCAAAAACTAAATTAACCGAACCGAAAAACCAAAACCGAAATTTTTGGTTTTAACCAAATAATGCTCACCCCTACATCCATATAGCTTTTGAAGAAATCAATCAGTAGAAAAGAAAAAAAATAATAATCTGATTTGATAACAGTGAGGAAGAAGAGAGAAATAGAGAGATCTTAGTGAGAAGAGAAGAATAGAAAGAGAAAAAGAGATGGGGAAATGCCAATAATGATCTGGCCTCCCCACTCATTATCTTATATGCTCATATAAAAGGTTGATTACAATGACTAAAATGCCCTTAATGGGGGGGCTACTGTTCATAGCATAAAACAGCTCCAAAAAAACATTATAAACTAATGGGCCTTGGGCCCAATAAGACTAACTAATGACCCAATAACACTAATGATTATAAACAAGAAAATCATAAGAAACTGCTGAATCTCAACACAATCTATACCTTACCCTTTGCTCAGAAAAAGAAAAGTGTGGGCCAGGCTGGGCCTGAAGTATTGGGCCCAGGACTGGTCCTGAAATTTGCAGGCCAGAGCACAAAACCCGGCCCAAGCCCGAAATTTCTGGGCTAGGCCAGGCCAGGTTTTCCATGCCGGGCTGAAAATGATAACCCCACCCTCTTGGCTATGGAAAACTACTAGCTGTTTTGCAAAGCTAAAGATTAGGCAGAAATCTCTAATTTAACAATATAGTGGTGGAGGGAGACTAGTAGTGGTGAGTTGGCTTAAGAAAAACACCTTGGAGACTTGGAAGTACAAATACTTGTTGAGGGAAGTTATGACAATAGCCATGGAACTAAACACTATGGGGCCGTTTGGGAAGTCTTTTGGGAAGATCTTCTGGTAGCTTTGATAGTCAAAAGACACATTGAGCTTTTGCATTAAGATCTGAGCAGCCTGAAGCCCGTTTGGTTAAGGCATGTCTTTCCACATGTCTTTCCACGCGAAGAAGAATAGAGAAAAACGCAAAAGCTCCATTTGGAGCTTCCCAAAAATTGCCCGATTTGGGCTTTTTTGCGTCTTTTTGGCGCATCGTCTTTTATTGGCTAGATCTGCCGCAAACCAAACGGGAAAAGACCGAACCGCGGTCTGCTGGGCTTGTAAATAGCCGACAGACTGCGCGAAAAGACACGCCAAACGGGGCCTACATTCTCATGGGCTTGAAAAGCTGCAAATAGTCTGGTAGATGCTTTGGCAGGACAAGGGGTAAATAGAAAGCAATTGTATTCGGGAATGACTTGTGAAGGGAACTCATTGTAACATGTAAGGGGATTTGATATGAAGTAGGTAAAGGAAGGAGTTAAGGCATGGAATGAGGAAGGAGACAGACAAGAAGAAGTGTTTGAAGTAGAAAATTAAACTGTTGGGGATCTAGCACTGGGATTCTTCCTCGAGGCTGTGGTTCTGGAAAAGGAGTTAAGGGTTTTCTGGAAGATCTTGGAGTGTGTATTCCCTCTTTATTTTATTTGCTTTATGATCTGATATAATTGGTTTGTGTTGCTCTGGGTGTTGTCTTAACACCTGCTGACGTTTGTATTCAACCTTTTATTTTACTGCAAGGTGTTGTCTTAACCTTGCATGTATTTTTAATTTAGTTCATTGCAAATTATTTTCACAAAAATAAACTATTTTCTTCGATTTGAAGTTTTGCTATTTTCTTGTAGGATGTCGGTTCCATCTGTGAAGAATTGCCAACACTAGAAGTTCTCAATTTAACTAACAATTCTATGATGCATGATATTAATGGGCTTCCAATGCTGAAAAGTATCCATATTTTGGTTCTGAACAATTGTGGTATAACATGGGCACAGGTACCAATTCATATTTCTTGTTTGAATTTTCTATTTGGCCTCTTAAATTTTTTCAGATGGATGAACACTATCTTTTTGATTATGACAGGTTGAGATACTTAAACAATCACTCCCTGCAATTGAGGAGCTTCATTTAATGGGAAATAAATTGAGGACATTAATGGTCTGCACCTTTCCATTACAACCAATTTTCTCCAAATAGTTCACATGCTTTGAAAACCAACTCTATTGAACATAATAACTGATTGCTGATATTGGATACTATATGGATACTTTTAGAGCATGATTTTTAAATTTCCTTCACACATGTACTGAAGAGAAGATGGCTAAAAGACTAAATGGGAAACAGAGAGAGGGTTTACTATGTCTTTTTTGTTAAATGTATAGTTATACTTCTTTTAGCAATTTGTTAAAGGTTTATTAACTAATTCCATGGTTTTAGAACTCCAAAAACATGAGCTTGTTATACTGCCAATCCAATCCTGAATAAAGGAGGGTTGTGTCAGGTTGGCAGCTAACATTTTTTTTAGATCTATAACAGAAATTCATTAGAAATATTTAAACAATTACAAGATAGGGAGAGGTAAAGTTTCTTAACTCTCTACAGACAAAAAAAGCTATTACAATTGAGCCCAAAACAACTGGTTCCTCCCCACCCCTTGTTTTGCTAAGACATAAGCTAAACCATTTGCTGCCCTTTTAACCCAACTGAATTGCACTTCCATATCTTGAGTCATCCACTTGAATCTCTTTTTTTCATTATTGAAAGTCCAAAAACCTTTGTGCTCCTTTTGCAACCACTCCAATACCAGCTTTGAATCACCTTCTAAAATCAGCTTTCTCACATTCACATCTTTTAACTTTTGCAATCCTTCCATGACAGCCATAACCTATTCCAATTGGGACTGAATATAGATCAATGTTCTTTCCTTCACTGTCCCTAAACACCCCTCCAATACCAGATGAGCTTGGTCCCAACTATTTGGAGTCTTGGGAGGGGTAGACTGTAGAGTTAAGAGAAGATTCACTGAATAACTGTGGATTTGATTGAGGTAGATGTGCGGAAGGTGGGGAGGCTGGAGGAACGAATGAGAGCGTTGGTAGTGAGCCTAGTCGGGAGGTTTGTTGGAGTGGAGTTGGAGGTGGAGGTCTGGTGGGGATTGAGTGGGGAAAAGAGAAAGTTTTGGGCGTAAGAAAATTAAATAGAGGATTATTTTTATTCATGTTCCATAGTAATGAAATAGCAAAACAGATTCTGGAACTGGAAGTGACTAAGGAGAGGGATCTTGACGTTCGACTTAATTGGTGGTTCCTGGTGGTGGGTGCACTGTCCCCCGTAGAAGAATGGCAGTGTGGATTAACATAGTTGGGATTCCACTATACACCTAGAGCATCCTCACCTTTAAAGCGAAAGGAGGTCAGGTGGGAGATTCCTGAAATTTGACGATAAGAACAGGTCTCGGGATATATTAGATATGGCATGATCATTGGTGGTGGAAGAGATTTTAGAAATCCAAAGTGTTGCTAATTTGCGGTTTGCAGGTGAGAGTTACGAACTAAGATTTTTGGAGGGGGAGGACAATACTTTTTTAAGTGTCGTTTGAAACAACCATAACTATGATTCAGTTGAGGAATCGGTGAGGGGAGAGGGAGTTAGAGAGTTTCAGGATCTAGTCACAGAAGAGGGGGAGATGAAGGGTTGGTTGAAGGAGGAAGAAGGTGAGAAGGTGGAGAGTCCAGGGAAAAAAAAGTAAACTCATGTTTTGAAAAGGAAGAGGGCAGGTGGCATAAGGTGGTGAGAAAAGGGAAGACAAAAGTCGGACTAAAAGGTAAAGGGGAGGGAGTTGAAGATTTTCAAGTGGATGATGATGTCAGGTATGTGAATTTGGTGAGTGGGGCCCATTTGAAAAAAGGGAGGTCAAAAGGTTTAAGGTCGAAGGGATTAGGAATCTTAAAAGGCAGGGGCATAATTGGAAAAAAGTCCTTAAAGGTGGAGAGAATGGGAAAGGCAAAGAGAAGGGTTGTAAGTCTGTAAAAGAGAAAAGAGGAAGAGCAACTGGAGAGGCCACCAGTGCTTGTAACCTTCAAGAAGGGACAATTAATCCACCTGTAATCCGAGAAGAATCAGGAGGCACCGGTTCGCTACGAAAAGAAACTTTGGAGGAAGAAGCGACCCCGACATAGAGGTGTAAATCGGGCTTGTCGGCACAACATGGCCCATGTGCGGCCCATGCCATGGGCCTGGGATGGGCGGGCTGCAAGCCATGTAGTGGGCTTGGCTCGTGTCAGGTTTAGCTACGGGCCAAGCCTTGGGCTTGGGCTTGTTTTTTTTGACATTTTAATTTTTTTATTTTTTTGCTAAAATACTTCACTTTCCTTAATTCAATAATTCCTTTGAGCTTTGGGAACAAATTGGAAAAATAAAAAATCTAACAAAGAAATAAAAAAAAACACTTCATTACTTAACAAAATACAAAATGGACAACAAATTGGAAAAAATAGGAATTTTATTTCTTGAATTTGAACAATGCAATGGTCAAAGGACAATGGACGAATGAAATATAGAAAATGGAATAAAATATAAGAAAATATAATACAATTATAAATTGAAAATAAAAAATTACATTGTTGAAAAAATAAGAACTAATATATATAAAATTGAAAAAATTACAATAATTTTAATAATTGAAATAATGAAATATTGAGTATACAAAAGAATAAAAAATATTGACTTCATCATTTTTCTTCAAGTTCCACCTCCACCTCCACCTGCATCTTCATCTAATCATCTCCTTGATTGTCATCATGTGCTTCAGGTGAAACATCAGGTGTAATGTCATGCCTTCCTTTGTCTTGTAATCTCAATTAAAGTAGAAACACTTGCTTGTAAATAAAAATTTAGTTCAGTAAATGAATTTGCTGATGAATTGGTAGTAGATTTCTGCATCTTATGTAGTAGAGACCAAATTTTGTCTCTACTACTGGAAATGGAACTAGCTATTTCATAAGTGGAACTTGCACCTGCCCAAGATTTCTTAATGCCTACCCACTTGAGATTCATATCAACTATACATTTCAAATAATAAATTATTAACTTCTTCTATTTTATTTCCAACTTCAATATTCTTATTTTCACAATATGATTCAAATAAAATTTCTAAACCATCTTTCCTAATCCTAGGATCTAATATTACAGCTAAGCAATAAAGGGGAGAAATTTTCTCCCAATATTTTTTAAATTTATTTTCCATTATTTCAATAATACTTTGAAATTGTGGATTTTTCCTATATTTTGCAAAACATTCATTAATTATAAATAATTGATTAACTAAAAGACAACTAGTTGAGTAATAAACACCTGAAAATTCATTAGTTGCACCATAATTTTTTTTTGATCAATAACAGATTCATTCAATTCATTGAAATATCAAACTATTTACAGCAAGGAAGACAAAAACTCTTATCTTCTGAGTACAACTTAAACCCTCCAAAGAGAGAAACAAGGAAACAAAAGAAACAATTAAGTTACAGCTTAGCCCAAAACATTGCTTCCCTTTCTATCCCTTGTTTAGCTAATCCATCCGCCAAAGAGTTAGCTGATCTCTTAACCCAACGCATCCTAATTTCCATCTCTTGCACCAGCCACCTGAATTTCCTCTTTTCATTTCTGTAATTCCATAAACCGTAGTTGTCTTTAATCAGCCACCCTATCACCACCTCCTAGTCCCCTTCAATTATGAGTTTCCTGACATTCAACTCCTCTGAACTCCTTCCATAACTGCCAAGATCTCAGCTCTAAGGGAATCCCTCACACCAATTGGGCCTGAGAACAGGGTAGAAATGACCCCGTTCTCATCCCTAAAAACACCTCCAATCCCTGATTGTCCCGAGTTCCCCCTACAACTCCCATTAAAATTTAACTTTAAGAAGCCAGCAGGTGGGGGAGTCCAAGACACCCTTATTACTGGTTTGATCTGAGTGCAGTTTGCAATCTCACCCCACTTTCTCAGCATGTCTTCCACTGTGTAGTCTGTAAATAGCTCTAGTGATTTCAGCCACTATACCGCCCTTATGTGGATCACAGCCTTCACATCTTCAGCCTCTCTCTTATTTTCTGAGAAGATCCTAGTATTTCTTTCTTCCCATAATGTCCAGCATACTGCAAATAAAGACTGGCGCCGCCCGTACTGTTACATTGCAAAACCTTCTTTCTTCTCTCCTCTCTTCTCTTCTCTTCTTCTCTTTTCTTCTCTTCTCTTCCTCTTATTTCTGGCCGGCCAACACTGTCAAGAGTTCCCAAGCCCCAAACCCCCATAGTTTTTACTTCTGGTCACCACCTTCCAGCTAACCTTGTGGTCCCTCTTCTCCTCTCTCGGCTCCCAAAGGAAACCTCTCATCAACCTCTCCAACCTACTAGAAACCTTTCCTGGAATCTTAAACGCTGAAAGAAAATAAATGGGTAAGTTTGCTAACGTGGCCTTAATCAGTGTAATCCTACCACCCAGAGAGAGATAATTCTTCTTCCAAGATACAAGTCTTTTTTCAAATCTTTCCACCACCGGGTTCCAAAAGCTCTCCCTCTTAGGATTATCTCCTAGGGGCAGTCCTAGATAGTTCAGAGGCCACCCTGATACTTCACACCCTAGTACTTCTGCACTCTCCCTTAACTCTCCCTCCTCCAGATTCACCCCCACTATACAACTCTTCCCAAAGTTCACCTTCAAATTTGACACCTGCTCAAATAGCTGAATCACCAATTTCAGATTCCTTATGAAGCTCACATTACCTCCTTCACAAAACAGGATTGTATCATCATCAAACTGTAAGTGAGTGAGTGGGATGTTCTCCCTTCCAACCCTCCAACCTCTAATGAGACCCCTAGAGTCTGCCCTATGGATCAACTTCCCCAAAACATCAGCAACCAGTAAAAACAAAAATGGAGATAAGGGGTTTCCTTGCCTTATACCCCTAGTGGTTGGGAAGAAATCCACCACTGTCCCATTCACCAGCACTGAATAATGATAATTCCGAACACAACCCATGATCCATTTACACCATCTGGCCCCAAACCCCATTTTGATCATAACCTTCCTTAAGAACTCCCAATCCACCATATCACAAGCTTTATCCCAATCCAACTTACACACCACCCCCTTCTTTTTA